GTGTTGTCAGATGCCCCAGTTCTACTCAACAGAGCTCTCTGATAGAACTCAGCATGTAGAGTTTCTATTGGGTGTTTGCTCCATGTGTTAACTAGACTGTGTCTCTGGTTAAATTCTTGTCCACTGATTGGTGAAAAATGATCACAATTTTTCACCCAGGCTCTGACTGGGATGGCTTTTAATGAGTACATTGCTCTTCTTTCAGTGCATTTAGACTAAATAGAAACTTCCTGATGCTGAGGTGAGTAGGACCTTGTGTGGTTGATGAGTGTTATTTAAAGTAAACGTGTACTTTTCTCAAGACATCTTAAGGTTTCTTTAAAGAATCATAATTTGTTTTCTTTAAATTGACCTCCAGAGCACATTTTTGGCAGAGCTGTTGCAAGATATTGAGATTATGTTTGATACTATCTCTGCCTGGTGATAAAAAGAATGAGATCATCTGCACAAAGCGAGAATCTGACCTCAGTGTCTGATGGAAGGAGGCCTGGAGCTGCTGAACCATAGTCTGTATGAACTATGGCCAATTTTGTCCCACCTCCTGTCATTATACGAATTTGAAGCCAAATTGCTCTCAGTATTTCTGGAACTTTCTCCACTTCCTGGAACCACCACTTGCACAGTAGCATTGTACGCATTCGGCAGGAGAGTTGCTGTGATGACGCTCGGCTCAAATAGCGTATCTGCCGTTTGAGCTACACAATTTGTACGCCCATAGGCTGTATCAAGTGTCAATCATAGAAAACATAAACCCTCTAACAACTTTTAAAAATGGAGCTGCACATAAAAAAGGCGGGATTTATGATTTATACTGCAGCCCGTCACCAGAGGGTGCTGTTCTTACTGTGGCTTCAACCAGCAAGGAGGCAGACAGCATCCATTCTATATACGGTCTATGTGCTGAACACTCCAACTGCTCTGCCAGTTCATTGAGGTAAAGGTTGAAGAGAGTGGGGCTTTAATACCCTCCCTACTAACTGGAGACAAGGTGGGTCATAAACCCTGTCTCCTCCATGGTAACAGATGGAACACGGGTCAAACTAGTAAATTCAATTAACCACGTCTCCTTTAATTTTCATCTGCAGAGAGAAGAGAAAGTAATAATAAAATTTAGTACGTTACCATGTAAGTGCAGCCCATGCACTGTGTACTTGTTGGGAGTCCATCAATTACTGTAATTTGTGAAACCATGTGAAAACAGTTAAGCAGAGATGTATGCTTAGTCTCAGTCTCAAGTGTACTGTCCTTTATATACATTAACTATTTCAGGTCAATTTCAAAAGAGACTTCAAAGGCACTCAATTATATAAATGGTGGGTATACTCTAGCTGGACTTCAATTGTTCTCTGCCAGTGTGTAAAGCATGAATATTTCATGTAAGATTAGGATGCCAGTATTAGGATGCAAAGACTGGCTTCATGACTGGGAGTCTATCACTGTGGCATTTAGAGGCTGTGGCTATACTGTGAGCAATAACAAAGCTGCAGCTGGAGATTGTTTTGATGAAAACAACACAGCAGAGTTTTTCCTGTTTGAGTTTGTGTCGCTCGGATAGCTTTGTTCTTTAGTTTTCTCGTGGCAATCGATGGTGTGGAAGAACAAAAATAAACTCAAAGAGAAGCAAAAACACATGAGTCAAAATAAAAAAAACAGAAAAGCTTAATTTGAACTCAAGTGACTTCTTTCAGGAGGTGATCCCTCCAATTGGCCCACCCAGATGCACTATATTAGAGGTGGGGTAGGCAGGAAGCATCTTTTTTGTGGTCTATATACAACAAAGCTTTTGATTTCAGTCAGTAGCTTTTAGTTATTGATTTTATTTGGTAATATCACAATATCGCTGTGTTTTGTTATGTCTGTGTAGTCAACATTTTAAATTTTTTGAACAGCCCACTCTCTCTGACTGTAAACAAAGCCATTCTCTGCCTTCCCCTAACTTGGGATTGGTTGTGAGGTGGATGCTGCTCCTTAGTGCTGATTGGTTGTGAGGCAGACGCTGCTCCCTCATGTTGTGAGGCACGCTCCACATCCTTGAATAACGTTCACAAGCCCAAGCAAAGTTAGCGTGCTACAATATCGGACATTAGAAACCAACCAGAAAGTACGGGAAATTGTCTCAAGCCTGCTTTGGCCACGACTGCCAACACAAGCAAGAAAACAAAGTAAATATGGAGACTCTGGCGAAATAACGGGCGCTCAAAAAGGAGGTAGACCGGACAAGAGCTAAAAAGCCGGGTCAACATCAGTGAATGTTTCGGGATGTTATTGATCCTGTAACCTTTTTGCTGGACAGGTAAAAAACTTTAACAAAGTAAGCCAAGTGTCTGTAACAGAAGGGTTTCTTGTCAAACGGTACCTGCTGCGTGTTGTAGCACCGCTAAACTGTTGACCTAGGGTCCTGGACTATGTCACTTTATCCTAGTTGTAGAAGTCCTGCAAACATTGTGTTTGCTGGTAGTCTGTTGGCATCTACAGTAGCACTATTGCTTTTTACTTTCATGTTGACTGGGCCCCATTTGTAATGATCTGAAGTATTTATCTGCATTATATCTGAATTTAATTGAAACAATATGAGCGAGCAGGAGCGTCTGTTTGTGGGTGGGGCTTGCTGGAGCAGAGGGAGGGGAGAGGAGGAGCTGAGGGGAAAACTGGTTTGGAGGGGTAGTGTTTACATTCATGATTTCTCCCAAAAACTGGCACTTCTCAGATCCTGTCTACCCCACCATATTAAACAAAGATAGTACAAAAAAATGAAGGCTTTTCTATTTTGTTGAAATGTCACCTCACGGGTGGGGAAAGGGTCAGAGCTAGTGTGGGAGGTGGAGTGCCAGCTAGATATGGTTGGGTTTACTTTCATGTGATAGGATGTATATTCTGGACACTCAGGCGAAAATGAGGAACAGAGCTGTCAAGTGATCACTACCTGGCTGTGGGTAGGATTAGATGGGGAGGGAGCTGCCAGACAGACCTGATAAACACAGATGGGTAGTGCGGGTGGACTGGGAACGTCTAGCAGAAGCCCTTGTCCAAGAGGTCTTTAACAACCACCTCCAGAGGGATTTCTCATTCATCCGTGAGAGGTCGGGAACACTGTGAATGATCCGTATTCAAAGCGTCCATGGTGAGGAAAGCCCTCAGACCAAAGAAGGAGACCTTTTGGGTTTGTTTAGCTAAGGGATCTCTGGAAACAGCTGACAGGTATGAAGTAGCCAGGGCTGCAGCCGCAGTGGTTGCAGAAGCAAAAACCTGAGGATGGGAGGAATTTGGGGAGGCGACAGAGAAGGACTTTTAATTGGCCTCAAGGAAGGTCTTGAAAACCATCAGGTGCCTCAAGAAGGGAAAGCAGGGCTTGGATCAGGCTGTTCTCAGCAGGAGTGAGGAACTGCTGACTTGGGATACTGTCAGTGGTAGAAGGAACACTGCGAGGAACACCCTAATCCAACTTACACATCCTTTGAGGAGGAGTCTAAAGACCCAGGAGGAGCCTCATCAATTTCCTTGGCAGAGGTTGCTGAGGTACTCAAAAAGAGGCCTGTTTGAAAACAGAATTATTTTCTAATTGAGCCATAATAAAAAGCCTGTCAGTTAGAGTAAGAATTGGCTACAAAATATTTGAGAAGAGTCAAATGAAACATGTTCAAATACACATACTGTCTATTTCTGACGTTTGGTCGTGGTACTCTTCTGAAAAAAGGCTCAAAATCCTCTGCACCACTAAACCTTTGAAACACAATAAACCACATAAACAAAGACCACAACACAGCAAACCTGGGTCTTGTTTGAGCCTCACTGGGCTGTAAATCAGCAGATATGTAACTACCTGGACTTCAAGTGGGCCAGTAAACCCATAAACCTTACTGCCTCCATTTCCCTGCCTCAACAAACACTCTTATACTTCATTTAGAAGAATAAACATCATGCAACGCTCTGATTCCTGAGTCTCCATGCTGACCTCCACACCACTCAGACATCTCTCTCAGGCACAGCTGTCACTGTGTTTTTCTCCTCAGCTTCATTAAAGAGCTTCGATTCTGTTTACATCCCAGCGATCTGAGGGGGAGTGTTTGACACTTTCCACACAGGCTGAATCACTCATTCATCCTCTCTTCTTACTTCCTCCTCTGCATCTGCTGTGTTTTTGATGTGTCCTCTCTCCTCAGTACCTGTTTGTTTTCTCTGAGTCTCATTATACTCTGACAGCATTTAAGAGCAGATTAAAGCTGCATGTGTCTGTTTAGCTTTACTCACACCTTGGTAGGTATTTTAATGTGTTTGTGTCATCCATTCAGGAGTGCGTGTCAGTTTGCTTGATTGAAACAGAGAGTGACGCTGAGGTCAGTAATGGAGGCGCCTTTAGATTAGGTGGGAGTGAAAATTTTGTCGACAACAAATACCTCAAGGGAGAAAGGCCAACTGAGGCAACCCAGACCAAGAAAAGAGGAGAATCTCCAGACTCCAAGCACTTAAGTTGTTGCAAATGAAAAGCAAAAGTAAGTGGGCATCAACAAACCTCCATTGTACCCAGCCTGGCTGACAAACTGCGAGTATGGCTACCAGTGTGATTGGCTGTCAAAACTAAAATAACTCAAAAACCTTTTTGGTTCTGACGTTCATTCCTATATGATGTATTACAGAGATGCTCCTACTGTAAGGGTTGCACCCCAAACAGTCTAAAGGTCATTTTACACCAGACCCCAAAAAGCGACACAAAAATGTAAAATATTCAGCTTACACTTTTTCCTATACACCGCTGGTGAGATGCGAATAAAATTAGCATATTGTTGAAATATACTCCAGGGGAGAATAGAGGGGGAGAGAGAAGAAAGAGAAACAATGGTGACAGTGGTTGTAAGCCTATTAAATAACCAAAAGAAAAAGAAGAATTGAAGTGTCTGGGTACATCCAATACTGACCTTGCGACAGGAGATGAGAGAGCTCCACACAACGATTCAGGAGCTGAAGTTGTATCTCGAGAAATTCCGCCAATACTTCAGAATGTCCCTCTGACAATTTCAAAAACTGCCCCATGAGCTGATCTCCACGTTTGCAGAAGGAGAAAGAGCAAAATTAAACATGATCAATTTTCTGTTGAAGCATCTTTGATATGACTTTGATTGTCGTTCACTATGATTAACAGCCAGTATTTAAGGCTGGCAGGTCCTTAAATCCTACACCTTCTGTCTTTAAAAATGTTTAAGCTAAACAGATGAGTTTAAACGTTCTCACTTATGTGATCCTGGTGATCATGAAAACAATATGAGAACATTTTTAGGGGCACTGTGCAAGTCACATGTGTACAATATTTTTCTAACTACCACAAAATTATACAAAATGATGCTGGTTCAGCAAATTTAACACAGATTACCCAGAATTCTCCTGGCAGATCACCCAGCTTGATTTCTAATGAAGTCAAGGGACCTATCACCCAGACTCCACAGACTTTGGCTTCATAGTTTAGCAGTGCTGATACTGAATTTTCCTCATTAACACTCTGACAAACTCAGCAACTCACTGGGTTGGCAGCAGGAATGCTCATTATCCTGACATTTTCCAGGTATGTGCGTGGAGTTGTGTAGATGTGTAGATGTGTGTGTGTGTGTAGGAAGCACTTACAGGGATGAGAAGAGGAGGAGGGGATACAGGCAGGACATCAGGTGTGCTCTCTCTGCGTCTCCTCTTTATGCAGCACAGCAGCTGATGGTGAGAAGAGGACTTTCCCCCCGAGCGTGTCATTCTTCACAGTAAGTGGGGCACATAAGATTAACCTCTTTCTAACTCTGTGGCTCTTTGGACATGTCACCTCTGACTTTACCTTTAAGCTCGACCTTTGGTCCACACCTGAGCAGAGAATTACTGCAGGCTTGACTTAAGGTGTCACTTTGGCATGATTGACTGGTTCACATATTTCACATATATACAGGAGACTGACTGACATCTTCAATTTTAGCTTGTGCCCTTTTTAAATTTCTGCCACAAAACATGAAGTTACATAATTCTCCAGACGCGTTTGACAAAATTTTGTTCACAGAGCCCTGGGAAAAGTTTACTAAAGATTAAGTTTGTTCTTTGATGTGTCATTGACTGTCATTGCCAATTGTTACATCATCCAGTCCAAATGAGTTTCAAATTTATTCCAAATTTCTGTTTAATGGGGGAAAAAAAATGCAAAACTGTTGGACAAGTTTCTTTGGTTCAACTTCAGGATTATGCATGAGGCTCCCATTGGAGTTTAGTGGCTTGTATTGATGAAGAGTAACAACTCCACTTGTGCTAACTGTACTTTTACGATTGGCAGAGACTTAAAAACTGCTGTTGGAAGGTTTTTAGGGCTGTTGTAATAAACTGTTGTTGACAGTAACTGTCTTTCCCAAAATATGAAATATTGATATTTACACTAGTTGGCACAACATAGGATAGAAGAAGATGGGGAGAGGAGTGTACTGCTACTACACGACAGTGCTTTGGGCTTAACGTTAATTACCCTAAAATGTAAAGAAATAATCACAAGGACAGTTTGACAGTGTTTACTCATTGAGAGCATTTAGGAGAATGAATAAACATGTAAAAATAAAATAAACATTTGTACAATCTATGCCATTTTATACCAGTGTGACAAGCGTTAGGTAGACTTAGAGCAAGAAGTAGGAAGGACTTCTCTTCAGAAAGTCATACCTCAGTAAGTATCAAGCAAGAGTAGCTAAGGATTTATTCATTTCAAAACTCATCAAACATAACAGCAAAAGATATTCCTAACATAAGATATTTCCAAGTCTATGCCATTTCAAGTGATGCAGACTAATGGCGACCATAAACTGTATATACTATGGTCAACTTGGTTCCGCCTTCCATCATTATATGAATTTGAAGCCAAGAAGCTTTTGGTATTTCCGGGTTTTTCCTCCACTTCCTGAAACCATTATTGTGCAGTAGCGTTATTACACACTCCACCACTTGCGCAGTAGCATTGTACGCATTCAGCGGAAGAATCACCATGAGTCGCTGTTTATTTCTAGGTCTATATTTTGTGCAGTCTATGATCAAGACAGGCGTTTTCTAGTAAACATAGAAATACCAGAGCCTAGTCTCACACAGTCACCGAACTTGAGGCGCACAGACCATATGGCTCCCCACCCATTTATTCTGGTTTGCCTTCATTATGTTACCCATGGCTACATTTCTGTGATTAGCTTGGAATCAGTCTGGTCTTTTCCCCTGCTTTCTGTTCTCTTCTGAAAACTCATTTGTTTGATTTTCATGCCACAGATAAATCCAAACAATAAGTATAAAAGATTGAGAATAGCCCAGAGCCATCACTACCTCTGAATCAGTAAACCGGTTCAGCCAGAGGTCAGAGCGTCTGAAATAAAATGACTAGTTCAGCTTTGTGTTGATGATTTGGTGTCTCTGCACTTCTGAGCTGGTAGCTGTCTCTGCTCATTTGTCATGTTACATCTTTCAGTCTATTCCCAACACTGATGCTCTTCATTTATTCCTCAGTTACTCATGTGCAAATAAAAGTAAGTGACAAGAAAAATGCATCTACCTTAAACTCTGCTGTCAGCTTTTGTGTTACAACAATCTGTGAAGTAAATTAAGTGTGGCTGGCGGCAGGATGCTCATTTGTTATTTCCCTGTGATCTCATTCATTAAGGACTTCACAGGGAATTAGAGGTAGAAAGGACATGCTGGGCTGCATTTAGCTTTGCATGTGTCATGCATGTTATGATTTTACCACCCTCCTCTAAAGATGACATTTGAACAGGCGTGTTAAGCTTGAATGAGACGCTTCATGAAAGGGACAGATGGAGGGAGGAATGAATGTTCATTTGTTGTCCATCTGTCCCTCACACACTGATCACAGACACAGTTGATCAGGGTTTGACAGCAGTGGGAGTAATGATGCTTCCCCACCACCACACACTGGCATTTTCATGTTACATTGATGATTTCACGGGATACACTTTATGAGCATCAATGGAGATGAGAGCGAAATGACACACAATTTGATAATATCCCTGTTATCAGAGGACAATAAAGTAAATGCCAACGTGTTTTTGTATTATGCAACTGTCCATTTTAAAAGCTGTAGTTACCACTTAATTTTTACCTTCAAACATACATGAAGAAAATGTCATGACTCCAAACATTGGTGTATTTTAACCGCTGGTTCTGCTTTACGTAACAAACGACATCTGAGAGATGCACTCACAGCTCTGCTGCTGTGTCCTGGGTTACAGGATAGGATGTTGCTGCACTTTCCCTGTCAGAGATGCTTGGGGTCCAGTAGCTCCTCAGGCTTCTCTCATGTCTGTGTGTGCTAACTGGCTATGACAGAAACACTTTAATTTTTGCAACAGTGTTTAACAATCCATGATGATAGTGGGAGAGAAATCACCACAGTGTCAACAAGCAGAAGTGAAATGTGTGGGACTTATTTATGTGGACTAATTTGATCAGGGTGCCTCTGGTGTCACTTTTTCTTGAGAATTTATGACCTTTTTTAGGGCTTTTGTCCTATTAGAATTTCATTATTACAGCTTCAAGATGAGACCACCCTGTTACAGTTGCATATTAAGGTATACTGGAATCTGTTGTTCCCATATTGGTTCTTATCGTATTTAAGCTTTAATGATTATATTTTTCTTAAATTTTAATTATTAATTTGATCCTATTATTAACTTCTTTTTCTTGGGAAAATGGAGCTGGTTAACATACAGGGGTGATAGAAAATATATAATGAAAGAAAAAGCTGGAGCCCTTAAAGTCCCACTCTGATCACTTTTTTTTATTACTTGAAGTGTTGTCAGTGGCCTTTAAATTGTGATTATGAAGTTTTGAGCCAAAATCATGTTACCTGTGTCATTTTCAATGGCTTTTCTTCTGCAGAGCTCATTGGCAATTCACCTCGGAGTCGTGGGCGGAGACAACGCTGCTCTGCACACTCCTAGTTATGCTAGCTTGCAGCCTAACATTGCAGGTGTAGTAGAGGTGGCAGGTATCAAAGGAGCTATTTAGCTCTCGAACACTAATGTCTTTAGGGGCATGATGAAAGTTTATATCATAGTTAGCGTTCTTACAAGCATTGCAATCTTCTAATGTACATGCTTATTCCACGATTGTCATCTCTACTTCTCTGAGTCTGGCCTGCATAATGGAACTCCAGGGGTGGAGCTTAGATTGGTAACGTATGAAATCTCACCGTGTCTGTACCTGCCATTTGGGTCTGTGAGAGATTCACAGCGATTTGAATGCAGAAATACAATTTTACACTTACTTTTCTCATGAAATGTACTGTAGCATCAGAAAAATGCCATATGAACATGTTGACAACAAGAAAAACATGGTTTTTATTGGAGTGGGTCTTTAATTGAAGACAAAGATAGTAATTTGTTGTTTCTGAGTCTATTTAAAATGTCCTGGGGAAACACTCTAAATTAAAACTTATTAAGAATTAATGAGGGTTGAATAAATTTAGTAGAAAATGTATGTATACATTAGAAAAAGACAGAGCATGATGCAGCATGAATATCCATAATATTCAATGTTGAAGTGCTTTTAAATTTTCTCCTTTTTTCATTTTACTAGAAAAAAAACATCTGGAAAAAACTTTCTAGAACCTACACTACAGGCCTAAAGTTTTGAAGCAAGGCCATTACAGGCCGAACAGTTGGGAGTAACTTCAAGTTTTTGTTCACAGTGCTTTTTTAAAAATCCAGCATGAGTTTTATGTATTTTGGGATGTATTTACTCCATGATCAGATGTTGCTTTTATGGAAATGCACCATTTTACTCCATTTTCCTTTAGATATACATTGATGTTAACAGACCATTGCTAAATATATGTCAGCAAAAGATAATAAGGGCTTAGATTTAGGATTGAAATCATTTGCAAGAGTCACAACTTAAGTACAAAAGCAAAAAAAAAGCATAGTTGGATTATTCACTTCAACTTTTTGGCTTTTGAGAGTCTGCATACAAAAATCCTAATAAATATCAACTGCGTTCAAACTACTGCAAAAATGGCTAGAAAGAAGCAACTGAGTAAAGAAACAAAAGTACAGATTTGTAGATTGAGGAAAGAAGGATACATAGAAAGAGAAATTGCAAAATGCCTTAATGGGCTCTATTTTCGTTCGCGCCGGTGAGGCGGCGGAGGGCGGCGAGCCCCGCGCAGTTGTATTTTCGTCTCGCGGAGCCCGGCGTAAGGCGAGTTTGGTATTTTCGTGGACTGAGTCGCACGGAGGCGAGCCGAGATCCGCCGAGCTGGGCGTGGTGGCGTGGCAGGGGGAGGTGTTCACAGAATCAGCTGGCGCAGTGACATTTTCGTGCTCGCCACCGGCGTGTAACGTGCGCTGAAAGCTCGCCGATTCAAACCTGGTCAGCTTTCAGCGCAAGGCGGAACGCAGCTGGTCTAGTACTATTTTGGTAGACCGGCGGCGTATCGACATACGTCACTGATGCCTCACCGGCAGGTTTCCACAGTGTCAGGCAGATTTCAGTGCGATAAATAATCATCAACGACTAATAATCTGAGTCAGCACAAACATTTAGATCTATACCGATATATTCTGATCTATATCTGATCTGATGAGCGCGTTTGGCACGCGTTTGGGCACACAACCTGACCGAATCAATACAGCTGAAACTGCATCAAATTAAATTAAATATCTAGTAAATAAACACACATGATGAAGTTAACAAGATATGTAATGTGTCTCCCTCCTTTTCTTTCTTCCTCTTATTTCTCGCACAGCTCAACCTGGACACGTCACCGTGTTCTCTGTCCGTCTTGCTTGCTGCTGCAGCTGAACAGATGATTTGTTTCAGTGA